GGGCACCGTTGTCCCTCCAATGATTTGCAACTGTAGTCACAGATAATATGCAGGGTGTTTACTGGGAAAACAGCGCGAACAAGGACACAGGACCGAGAAGATGTACACAGACGGAGCGCTGACCGCCAACTGTTTATTTTTAAAGAAACGCCCGACGGCGTGGTCACACCAAACAAAATTTACATCATGACCCATGACCGTTACATGATCGCCACAAGTTGAAGCCCCTCAAAAATACCAACTGTAAATCACAAAGATCAATCGAAGGCGCGCTGACACAGTTGTCTTTGAACTTGGAAATGTAAAAGGCTTCAGTTATCTCCCTAGTTCGTTGGTGACTGTGTCTTCCCAGGACAGTGGTATCTTCCGAAACCGGAGAGTAACCAGATCTGTCGGAGTGAACCGCCAGATTCCCTGAGGGAGATGCCGTAATCGAACACGCGTATTCACATAATCTATGATTAATGCAGCGACCGGTCTGGCCGATGGAAACTTTTTTACAAGTCAGGGGGATACTGTAGACTTCTCCCCCACGCAAGGGACAAACTTGTTTTTATGCTTCTTATCACATGCGACCCTGACACCCGATCCCCTCTCCACCATCGCAAATAACGTCCCAGCTTGGCCGGTGCTGAGAAAACGTCAGGAACATTCTGGCGTTGCGCCACTTTCTTTAAACTATGCGCCACCTTGTGGGTATAGGCCACCATCATCCGGTTTCTGCGTAGACATCCTACCCATGACTACCTCCGGATTTCTCACCCTCCTCAAGAGGCACTCGGCCACACCTACCAGGAGGTTGCCAGGATAGCCGCCCTCCAAAAGTTTGTTAGCCTGGATAGGAAAACTCGTCGTCACTTGGTGAGGACATGACCTGACGAGCGACCCCCAATACTACTGGATATGATCCCCCTTTTAACTATTTTTTAATGACTCCAGTCAAACGGAAGCACACCTTTCTTCGATCTAGGACAGTAACACCAACACGCGTCGGAGTCCGAGAAAGTTAGCCTAATGTATTAAAACTGTAGAATACCCCCAACAGGGTATTCACTGGTAAAGTTCAACCCACTGGTATGACCCTTGAACGCGTGCAACATGTCTGCAACCACACCCTCCCTGTTCCGGCCAGAACCAGTTCGGAACAACACCAAAAAGTCATCTGCGTACCTAAATACACGAATGACTTCACTCCCTAAATCTCCGGCTATGCCCCTATCACACGTACAAAAACACTTGGTGAAAACTTGTTCATGAATACAGTTAACGCATATTACACCTCAACAGGAATACGTCACTTAAAACAGGCGCGACACTGGAACCAATGCATACACCTTGCTTCTGTAAAAACTCCGACCCTTTGTACTCCACAAAGATGGAACTCAGATAAAAACACAGCAAACTTAAAAATTGTTCAAGGTTAACACCACAGTTATTCTGAAAAGAAACGTCCCCGCTTGACTCAATGCACTCCCTGACAGCGACCAACAGCTCTCGGTGGGGAATCGCGTAAAATTCCGTCAGGGAATCTGGCGGTTCACTGCGACAGATGTGGTTGCTGTCCGGTTTTGGAAGATACCAGGGTCCTGGGAAGACATAGTCTACAACGCACTAGGAAGATAACTGCAGCCTTTTACATTTCCAAGTTCAAAGGCAACTCTGTCAGCGTGCCTTCGATAGATCTTTACGGCTGTGAGTTGGCATTTTTGAGGAGCTTCCATTTGTGACAATCATGGGTCATGATGTAATTTACGTCATGGTGTAAATAAAATCATAGGTCATGATGTAATTTTTGTTTGGTGTGACCACGCCGCTGGACGTTTCTTTAAAAATAAACAGCTGACAGTCAGCGCTCCGTCTGTGTACATCTCCATCCTGTGTCCTTGTTCGCGCTGTTTTACCCGTGAACATGCTTCACCAACTGGCCCCAATGTCAACAATGCAGGGTGTTGTCTCGGCACTGAAAGTCATTCTACAGGAGTTTCAGTGTTTCATTCCGTCTTATAAAAATACTCGTCCTTATATATATATATATATATAACGAAAGTGGAGGAGCTCCAGGAAAGGCCTTTCTTTACTGCACCAACGTTTCAAGCGGGGACCGCTTTTCTTCAGGGTGGGATGGTTGTGAAATGTCCTCCTCTTCTTGTTGATGTTCGTGTGGAAGAGGAAGAGCTGCTATGAAGGGTATTAAAATATTCGGAACAGGAGCAAAAAAAGTATCGTAAAGTTTTGAAATTAGTAATTATAAACAATGTTAATCAAAATCAATAAAACGAAATAAATTGATTTGTAGTATTTGCCACAGTCTTTGTTACAGCTCTTAAGCACAATCACCCCCGAGCAACCGGAGCGCACACAAAAGTAGCAATGAGGATGTGTTCGGGATTAACACCGCTTCGAGAGCGGAGATCTAGACAGCGCAGGAGTGCCGTGGCGGTTTTTTATGAAGTATTTAAATCATATTTGAATGATGCTTACGCGCCCAAGAATTTGACGCGGCGGAAGGAATTACCACGGGACGCACGCTCACGAGGATGTTCACGAGAGGCGTGGAACGAGCTCACGATGGCAGGCGCCTTTGGTGCAACAATGTGATCGACGCGCTCGGCTAGCAAATTCCGTGCAAAACCAAAATAATTGTGTGGCCTCGGCCCTACACACAGCGTGGCAGCCAAGTGAGCACGCCTGGACTTGCATTAATACCACAAGCAACCGAATTGAATTTGTGAATTAAAAAAGCCTCCTTCAACTCTCTGTCGTGATCAGAGCTAAATCCAGATTCAAGAAGGATGACACGTATTTTTTCAATGCTATGATCTTTAAGATGCATGGGTTTTGAGAACGGGAGGGTGGGTAAGGACTTGACATGAGACTTGTGATTATTGAAGCGCAACCGAAATGAAGTACTGGTTTGTCCTATATAATCCATGTTACATAGTTTACAGCGTAAAAGATAAATAACGTTACGCGTACCGCAGTTGAGGTTTCCAGTGATTTTGAAAGAAAAGCCAGAGTTCGCGCTAGTGACAAGATTGGTGGTTTCGACATATTCACAAATTTCACACCTGGGCGTCCGGCAAGGTCTACAACCCGAAACTTCAGAAGTTATATTTTTCGAGTGCACCAATATGTCCTTAAGGTTTCTACCTCGTCGATATACCACGCGTGGTGATACCGGAAAAAGGGTGCGTAGTTTATCGCTTTGCTGCAAAATACTGTGATGTTTCCTGAGAATATTGTTTAGATTTGGAAGGCGGGCTGAATATGTAACCACCAGGTTTGCGTGCTCGTTTTGCGACATTTTGGGTTGGGGAAGATTGATAATTTGCTCTCGGTCGGGAGCACGTGCTCTTTCAATGGCCTTATCGACAATGGCTGGTGGATAATTCTGCTTGGATAGCACGAGCTTCAGATTGCTGGCATTGCGCTCGAATTCATCTAAATTTGAGCATATTCTCCGGAATCTATGAGCTTGAGAAAAGGGAATACTTGTTTTGCAATGTTTAGGGTGGGAGCTCTTGAAGTGCAGGTACTGTTGACGGTCCGTCGGCTTCCTGAAGAGTTTTGTTGTAAGAGCATTCCCGCTGATCTCGACTGTCACGTCAAAAAAATCAATGCTCGTTTTAGAATAACTGTGCGAAAACATTATACTGGGGTGGAGACCGTTGAAGTCCCGAATAAAGTCTTTAAGTGCTGACTCCCCATGTGCCCATACCATAAATATATCATCGATGTAGCGCTTATAAACCAGAGGTTGCAGAGAGCGACTAGACAAGAAGCGTGACTCTAAATCGCCCATAAAAAGATTTGCATAGTTAGGGGCCATCTTTGTGCCCATTGCAGTTCTCCGAGTCTGTAGAAAGTGTCTTCTCTCGAATTCAAAGTTGTTATTTTCTAAAACTAACCTGAGAAGTGTTGCGAGGACGTCGTTGTTGACACGAATTGTTGGAGGGTCATTGCTATACGCCTTAATTACAGCTTCAATGCCATCCTGGTGAGGGATGTTTGTATATATATATATATATATATATATATATATATATATATATATGTTTGTGTGTGTGTGAGTGTGTGTGTGTTACCGATGAGGAGATATAAATCGGAAAACAAGTCAAAAGCTTGTAGGTGGCCTCCGACCCCGGCTGTTCCCAGTCAGAAGTTTCTATACGGTCTCTGGATGATCCCCGAGCCCCAAAACGGGGGCGTCTCTGCCGTGAAACCCGAGCCAAGCGCGTGTTCCTACAAGGAAGAGTTTCGGAGGCGATCGCCCTCTCCCATGGAGAAGAACATTCCTTTCCGAGACGGCGAGCCCGACGCACGGCTTTGCGGACGGCACATTCTCATCTATTCTCTCACGTAATCAGTATAATTTTTTTTAGTTTGAATTTGAATAAACAGTTAAAAGTAATCGCACTAGACATAATTATTTAAATTGGACCGAATAGTCTAACATATATATATATATATATATATATATATATATATATATATATATATATATATATATATATATATATATATATATATATATATATATATATATATATATATATATATATATATATATATTGAATTTAGGAATATAATTATAATATAGTAAAAAAAACTTTCTGCAACATATTACACATCCCCTAGGGCCTGATCTGTGAAATGGTTTTTGTTCTTCATTTCTCTACATTGGTCTTGGTATTATAAAGCAGCGCGTAGTACTGCTGAAACAATATCTGCGATCATTGTGAAACTGTGATCCAATTAAAAGGTACATTTTTAAATTGCCACAATTACGTCCAGATTGAGGTCTCTGTATTGACATATTTTTAGGAATATAAAGCCCAAGGTACGCCCCTTTTTGAAAATGCAAAAAGTTGCCAGTTTGCTGTTCGGCCCTGCGTGATAGTGAAATGCGAGTCGTAATAAAAATAACTTTGGTCACAAACAAAGGCGACTAAAGTGTCTCCTGGTTGAGATTGTGTTGCCACGTGTTGTTTTTTTCGCAGATTCTATCTGGGGAATGGTGGCCGTGTCGGCTGTGGCCATGCTCTTTGGGTCTGCAAACTTAGAGCTCTTGTGCATCTACGCTGCTGAGGTGTTCCCCACGTGTGTTCGCACTATTGGAGTTGGATCTGCCTACATGGCCAGTCGAGTTGGCTCCGCCCTTGCACCGTTTGTTTCAAGCATCGTACGTGAACTATACCACTCTGTGTCCTTTAAGAAAAACAAAATGATAGAAGTAGCGGTGAAGCTATAAAACTGTGATCTAACTACTGTAGACCTAGGATGCCTTAATATTCTTAGGGCGATGACACCCATTCTATACATGGTGTCGACTGCATATGCTCACATAAATATTGGGAAAGAAATATTCTGCTGTGGCAGGCGTCAAGTTTAACTCCAACCGGGAGACTCTCCTTTCAGTGCTCCAGAGAAAAGTATAAAAAGAAGCGTCGCCGTGCAAAGTGATCTGCCGTTACAGCTCTAAGACAGAGGCGTACACAGTAAGGTACTCTTCCTAAGGCACTGAGCTGCGCCAGTTGGTATTGATTAAGCGTGGTAAGAGTTTCGCAAAATTTTAACCATGTTCAAGCCTGTCTAAGATTAAATGCCTACCCATCACAACGAACACTGAAAGTGCTAAAGGCAGACACCCGGACGAATATACGCATATTATGTCTACCAGGGCATTAAATGTCCAAGAATACTCAAATAACATGTTCGGGACATATGCCAGTGAATCATTCACGGGACGTGTTGTTGAAGATTTAAACTCGCTTTAGGGTTGCTTAGCAGCTATATGTTTCTTCCAAACATTCATGAACTTTTCGACTAGCATAAACTTACAACAATAAAATCTTCAACTGCACTTTCAATTGTCAAATAACGTATTGCAGCTCAGCGCAAGATAATGTTGCCGATTGGGTTAGTTTAAAGCAGTATACAGCACGTAAAGTATACAACGCGCAGTTCTCGAACGGAATATTTTAATCAAATAATATGGTTCACCTTCTTATAGGAAGACGTCGCTCCCCGTGGAGTAATGGAGGCATGTGTCAGCGGCATGCAAATCATCGCTGCCTTGACTCTATTGCTTACTCCCGAAAGTTTCCGAAAGCGACTGCCAGACTCACTAGAAGATGCTGAACTTCCGTTCAGGTTCGTATGTTACAGATTAAAGTGTGGCTAGAAAAATTGAGTGAAAGGCGATATAAAAATGTTCTAAATAGCAAAAAAAAAACTATTGCAAATTGTTCTGATTTTTTGTCGATGTTGGTAAGGGGAGGGTGGGGAAATGCATAAGCAGAAAGGGGTGTTTTAAAATTTCTGTGCAAAGAACGAGTACTGTACAACAAGCAAGCAGAAACTGGAGATAAAGAAACTTGGGGGACGCTTAAGCTTCGTCTTTAAGAGTGGGACGCGATAGCGTTATTGGGCCCCGTTCGCAAAGCCTTTTTATATGAACCCGCGCTCGTTCGCAAGGCTTGCAAGCGTGTGTGCGCGGTCTAGTTGGTAGCGTCACGTGTCACGTGACGTCACACGGGAGCGTTGTAGCTTGTTTGAAATTCCCGGGTGAGGTTATGTGGCATGACGTCACACGTGGCTCTGATGTCATGACCCTATGGACATGCTAAATTTAGCGGAACATTTTTGCTGCCAAATTCGGTGAAATGTTTACCGCGGAATTTAGCAAAATCGTGTACCGCAAAAATTTAACAAAGCATTCTCTCGCAAAATTTAGTAGAAAAATTTTACCTCATGACGTCACCAGGTGCATGACGGTAATGTTCGGTCCCACAGGCGCCGGCATCGACGTGGACGCTGACGCCGGATTATCTATGATGCGTACTCTTAAGCGCTGTAGCGTTAAAACTCACAGCTTCCGTCTTCGTATCACTGTTTTAATACTCACCGTAAAGACTACCCGCAGAGGGAAAAGTTCAAATTCCGAGTCACCAAATGAACCACTGAATTTATTCACGTTGCTCATGGTGAATCGTCTTCAAAATTATAGAGTTGAGAGGTTTAATGAATGATAAAATATATTGCGAAGACATTCTGGGAGCGTTTGGTATGAATGCCTTTGCAATATCAATTTACATGCGAATAGACCGGTAGCCTTATAGCTTGTTGCTTGAACCTAACTGTCGAGTTACCGGGGCCCACGCAATTTAAAATCACTGGCACTTATGCTAATTTAAATTGTTTAAATAAGAAAGAAATGTATTACAGATAAATACAGAAGAGCGGAGCGTAGGTTTCTACTGAACGTCACATTTCCCACAGATACGTGACATTGCCGAGAAGTCAAACTGGTCTACAAATTATGTAACATGAAAACGAAAATTGCAAGGCTAAATATTAACACTTCCCTTTAATCGGGAAATAGCGTTGAATATATTGCCGCGACATAAACTCTGTACCAAACGTTTTGGTGTAGAGCCATGGATTATTTTATTTTTATAGCACATTCAGAAACGGGTTGAAGCGTAGTAGAAACTTTGAGTATAAAGGTTACATATTTCTACTTACTCATAAACGAATCTACATGAAAAAGGGGCAGTATTACCGTAAAGTCAATATTCAACATAGTACTTAAGAGTAAATTATACTCGTTTTAATCTCATGAACCTAAGAACCTTAGAAGAAATAAAAAAAGGTCCGACTCCTCGCAAAGCATTGTACTAATTTACTAGTTTTATACAATTATTAAAATAGATGTAGATGGACTTTTGACTGGATATATGTTATCTTAGCAAGACGAACACGTTTCGAAAACCACGGACATCCCTTCTTCTTTTGACAACTACTAAAATTTCTAGGAACTATTTCACGCGGCGTACGAACAATGCGCAAAACTTCTTTTTTTTTTTTTTTTTGAAGTGGAAAGGAGTATAGTGACTTTCGCTGATTGATTCAGTTTTGTTCCGCCTTTCAGATCCCAAGGCGCAAACATCGAAGTGGATGACCGCAAGGAATCTGAGAATGGTTTAGACATTTCCAACACGGTGGTTTAGTTTTCATATTAGTGGCTATAAAATACCGTACTTTTAGGTCGCAAAGAAAGCGACGCAGTTAAAAATAATCTAGGGTAAATGCCCTGTTGGGAAAGTAAGCTAGATACCGTTTTAGGATTTGCCAAGAGCAAAAAATAGAAACGACTGAGGTTTCGTGGATTATTGCACCATAATATATAGCTAAGAAATCATGAACAAATCCGGTATTGAGAATTATTTTCCATGTTTGTCTTGTATGATAAATATTGTTCGATAACTTAGATTACTCCCGTTTACAAAAGAGATTTATACAACGTATTTACAGTTTAGACACGGGGAGGGCTCTTGAAGGCTGGTGTTGTACCGACCAACGGTTCCCCAACTAGGCTCTCCTCTTGTCTAGACTGTAAATACGTTGTATAAATCTCTTTTGTAAAACGGAGAAATCTAAATTATCGAACATTTTCTTGCGAGGTGTGCCGTCGGGCGCGTATACACATTTAGCCAGAAATGTCCTCAATTATTAATAAATATAATCCCTATCCTCTTTTGCGCATGTCACTATAACAAAGAAATATATCCCAAAAGCTTAACCTGCCTGTGAGAGTTTGATTTCTTAATCATTCAAGCTTCCCTGATACCACCAAAAACCGTTCATGAGTTAATACTCATGCCGTATATGCAACAACTTGGAGGCTTTCCATTAAGTATGAATATTCCGATCTCACTGAGCTTTCCACTCATGTGTGGTGCCGCCATAATTGTAGCTTAAAGGAGGTAGGCGCCAGTTCACGAAACAGCTCGTGGGGCCTCGTGCTGTGCTCGCAGATACCACCAGCGCGGTTCTCGCACGTCCAAAAAGACTATTCGGATCGCAACTGTATACGTCCGCTTCTTGCACAGGGGTGGCGATGATGTCAGCATGCCGAGCTTGTATTGGCCGATTGAAAAACATAGTGGGTAGACCTCAAGGCATCTAGCATCAAAGTCCACCCAGATTCCCTCCCATCAAAGCCAATCAGACATCGGCGTCGTTCTGACGTCACGGCAACTCCTGCGCAAGAAGCAGACGACTTGCTCTCCACACAGTTCCCACGGTGTGCGGTGGCAGCGGCGGCTTAATAAAACTGTCTGTGAGATCGGTATATTTGATAACGTGTGTTTGAGAGCGTATCTCATAGACCTGCCAAGTAATGCGTGTTAAAACTTGTGAAAAAAGCAGGGCCGGCAAATTCTGCGCCGTGATTCGAGGTTAAGAAGATTAGCTTGAAATTTAAATGAGGTGACACTGGTGCGATAGGAGTAGTCTGAGTAGATGAATGTTACTGCGCGGTTTTGCACGTATTTCATTGTATTAGTAATATTAGATTGATGTGGGTCCCAAAGAGCAGATGCGTAATCCAGTTTGGGTCGGACTGGTGAGAGGAAAAATTGTAGTTTTACCGGTGGTGGAGCTAAGCGTAGGTTGCGACGAAGAAAGCCAATGACGCGATTCGCGTTATTAGCTATGTCAATGAGGCGTGATGACCAAGTTAGATCGTTTGAAAAGGTAATGCCTAGGTATTTATATGAAGGTACAAGGTATATAAGGGAACCACAATTGACGTAGTCAGTAGTTGGGTAAAATTGTCTACGATGAACATAACGTACAAAGGCATTAGTCACTTAGCACACCAGTCCTCGATATGGTACAGATCTCACTGCAGGGCGTGAACGTTAGTGCTGTTATTTATAGGACAATAAACAACGCAATCGTTTGCGAATAAACGTATGTTAGATTAGATATTAACAGGAAGCTCGTTTATATAAATTAAGAAAAGTAAGTAGTGCCTTGGGGTACTCCAGAAGCAACCGGGGATCAGAACGAAGAAATGGTTATTAGCATGAACGAATTGTTGTCGGTTTTACAAGAAGTTACGAATCCAGTTACAAACTTGATGGTCGAGGTTTAAACGCGAAAGCTTTAATAGGAGACGTTGGTGTGGAACTTTGTTGAAAGCGTTTTCGAAATCTAGAAAGTGGACATCCACAGCAGTTGAACTGAGATCGTTAGTAAAAAAAGCAAGCGGGGTTTCACAGGAAAGTCATTTTAAGAAAATAAACAAATGCTAAAAAGAGTATGCGCAAGCGGGGTTTCACAGGAAAGTCATTTTAAGAAAATAAACAAATGCTAAAAAGAGTATGCGAGTAAATTATAGGTTCCATTAATTTTGATTAAACACTGGTGATTGAAAAGAGACTATAACTTCTGCGTGGAGGTAGGTGCCTTTTTTTTCGGTATGTTAACGATCTTGCCCACTTTCCAGTCCAGTGGTACCACTCCAGTTGAGAGAGATTGCTGAAAAATGTTAGTATCTTTGAATTGATGCAGTTAACACCTGCGGATGATGTTAGTTTCGAACCTTCCTTGCCTTTAGGACTCAATTAGAATTAAAGGTTAGGTTGGACATGGCCGGGAGATCAGAATAAAGAAATTCAGGGAGATCACGGCTGGTTCTTGTGTAAAAACAGAACAGAAGGGGGAGTTCAATGTTTGGGGAATGTCATGAGTGGGAATGGGCTAATTGTTCTGATCACATAATGATATCGGCTTGGATTGACCAGGGATGATCATTTTCTAAAATTGCTTGGTATTGCAATGCAACAGTGCCGGCGAAGTAGAAGAAAAAAACGTGCGTTTGGGTTGAGCAAAATTTGAGTCAAACATTTCTTTGGAAGCCTTGTATTTGTCCCATGCTCGCGCGCTGTTCGACAGCTTAGCTGATCTAAATTTTCTTTTTCTTTTTTTTGCTGACACGTTTCAACACGTTATTGATTCACGGAGTTGATGTTTGCGCCATAACAGTGATAGTAGGAATGTACGTTTTGATTAGATGTTCCCTTTTGTTTTTAAAAACAATAACCAGTTTCTTTCAACAGAACATTTTGCAAAGTCAGTGAAAAACCAGCTCCAGAAAGCGTATAGTTTTTCGTTCATGCTTTTGTAGTCCCCTTTATCATATAGTGTTAATGTTTTCTTCACTTTTTTTGAGTGCGGAATTTGACACTGAAATGTGGGTTGTATTGTTACGTGATCACTGAATACGGGTAAATATGCAATTGAGAACATGTTTTCAGGATGCGAAGCAAGTATAAGGTCAAGAATGTTAGAAGAATTATCAGTTTGCCTGGTAGGGGAAGAAACAAGTTGCGATAAACCAAATGTGAGGAACATGTTAACGAAGTCTCTTTGATTGGTTTTGATCTAATAAGTGCCAGGTCGGCTCAGGTTATTGCAGGAAAGTTAAAGTAACCGAGCAAAAGAATGTGAGCGTGTTGATATGACCTAGTTGCCCATCAGAGGGCTTCGTGAAATTCACAATAAGAAAAGAATTGGGATCTGGTGGACGGTAACAAGCACCAATTATAATGGGTTGGTAGGAAGCATTACAGGATATAAATATGATTCCTAACAAGGGCGGGGGGGGGGGGGGGGGAGTTCTAATGGAAACGCATTGCAGGTTGCGTTGAGCAGTGAACAAAAGGCCTCCGCCGCGTTTGCTCGCACGATCGCGCCGAAAAGTATCAAAGTTATAAAAAAAATAACAATTCTGTATCACAAATAGATTAATTTAATCACGTTTTGGTGAATACGCCAAGATTACATTCAGTGGTATGAATGAGGCTGCGAAGTGATTCACGTTTGGGCAAAATACTTTTGATGTTCGCATAAAAGAGAGATAAGCAGTTCTTGTTTCAACTTGCAGAAACGTTTGTTGACAGCTACGAGGGACGTGGAATAAACTTTTGTTTAGTGTGATCGAATACGTAAGTCGTGTTGTTAATTATGAGTTTGTCATGACAGAGCCTGAAGAGACTGAGTTGGTTTTTACCAAATTCAAGCAAATGTTTTCGAGCAGTGCGAGTGTTTGTCGAGTTGCCTTCGGAAATACTGTCGCTGGTACCCTTAAAGGGGTCATGAAACGCTTTTCCAAATTTTTCCTGTTTAGCTTTCCTCCTCAACTCATAAATCGCGCATTCCACCAAACAGTTAAAGAAGACGAAAAGGGGGAGTCCCCTCTTGCTCGCACTCTCGTTTGTGTAATCCGGACACATCCATTCTCCCCCTAGAAGATTAGCCCGTCGCTCAAAATTCAGACAAAAGTTACTTTCCCCACCCCGTTCATTCCGAAGCTGACAGTGCTGTTGAAGCTACGTCCTCGTTGGGCCAGCCACCTTGCCACGTGAGCGTGGCAAATGTGGCTGCAGAGAATGAAGTAAGGTGATGAAAGGGAGGCGGCTGATTGGTCCGGCAAGCGCGTAGCTTCCACCACAATGTCAGCTATGGGGAGAAGGGAATAAGTGAGGTCCGGTTGCGTGTGACGTCAGTTTGGACCCGATGACGCGCTTTTGGGACCGCGGATGTATCACAGTGAAAAGGCAGAGAGGTTGCGAAGGGGAGGAGGTACGAAATAGTCCGCTCTGTTTTCAAATTTTGGCACTGAAAGTCAGGCTTTTGACTTTCTACCTTTTTTCTTTTGGTCCACTGAACGATGTACTGTTAGTAAAATCCCAGTCTAAAATGATTTATCCCAACCCAAAAATCGTTTCATGGGCCCTTTAAGCTATTTAGCAAAAGAAAAAACCTGCTTTCTGATTTTGAAATGTGCGAACTTGATCATAATAGGCCTATTTTTGTTCGGCTGGAAGGTTCCAGTATTGTGCGCTAGCTCGATGTCTGTTGGGTGGAGGTGTACGTTTAGCTCAACGGCACAATGCTCAATTATTAGGCTTTCGGACTGGGCCACGGTGTAAGATACACTATTTAGGTGAAGACACGGCGGGGCTAAACGCGCGGCGCGAGGAATCAGATAGCGTTCCTTCGACGGGCATCCGAAAGGCTGCATCATTCCTCGGCAACCGTGCCCGCGGCTGAAAGTGTCCCCGGCGGCCAAACGGCGAAACTGTGTGAGAGCGAAAAAAATTATCTCGTTGCCATGACACCCCGGCACTCCGTGGGCTTTCTGCATGTGCGACAACCTCGCTGGAGCTCTGCGCGTGTGGAGCATGAGGCGGCACGAGCCCTCTTGTGCACTGCTGCCTGCCTCCTGCGTCTTACACCGTGCCCAATGTGCCCACGGGGTCGACGAGTCATCTGCCGGCGCCGCTTGAAACCATAGTGAGAGAGAGAAAGAGAGATAGTGAAAAGCGAACTTTATCGGAACGTCGCGAGGAGCGCGCTGTCCTCACCTGAAGAGTATTATCGTACACCATGGACTGGGCCCATGTTTTGCATTAACTATCTTTGCGTCCGAAAAAAAAAAAAAAATTTGCTTGACGAGCCCCGTTTTCAGAGTCGTCGAATTTTGCTGTCAGGTAAGCGATCTGTGTAGCGCTGTCCTTGGCGAGAGTCTGAACGCTTTTGACCTGTGGCTTGATTGTAACTATAGACGAGCAGTCTTCTTGCATATTCATAAGCCTTTTTTTAATATCGTTGGACGTTCTATCGTGTTCTGATAGTTGTGAACGGATCGATTTCATTAACTCTAAGAGTGGTGTTTGCCCAGATCTGATGTCGTTTAGGGCCGACATTATCTCACTGTTTTCAGTGGTATTCATA